GGAATGCCACCGCTGAGGCGGGCGTGGGGCATCCCTCCCCGGCAGGAGCGGGGTTGTAACCAGAAGCAGTGAGGGAAGCCCTGCCTGGGCAGAGGGACGGGAGGTGAGCGCCGGAGTGTGCGCTGGCGCTGCCCCTGCGCTCGGCGGGTTGTCAGACCCTGTGGATGAAACGGTGTTCTCAGGGCTGTAACTGCTCTGAACCAGAACTGCTTATTTCCCCAGGCCTTTCTGGCTTTCTGAAGGGTGAATGTGTTGGATCTACCGGCACTCCTGGAGAAAACTTGGGCCATGAAATAACAGGTTTAAAGCAAGACCACTTTCCTCGGCTCTTTTTGGCTGCCTGGATACCTACTGCACCTGGAGGTCAATTGTTCCACGTTAACATGTCTACACTGACCCTCCATTAGGTTGCAGTTCCACTTGTTACGGTGAGCAGAGTAAAGATCGGAAGGATCCCGCTGAAAGGAGGAGCTCCCACCTCCCTTCCTCCTGCCTTATCCGCGTGGGACCCTTTTTTGGGCTGATTCAACACACCAGTTTGACAGAAGGCTGGTGAAATTGCTCACAGGAGGGCCTGACAAGGACTAGGGCCCTTGCGAAGGAAGGGAGATGAGACCTCTCCTGACTAGCTCAACTGCTGGTGGAAAGGCCGCAGGACTCGGTCAAGTTTTATTTAGAATACTTACACACCACTGCAGGAAACTTGTAATTCAAGAACCATCTTTTTGTTTTGTTTGAAGCTCAGTGAAATTTTGGTTTTGCTTTCAGCCTGCTGCTGGCTGACAAACACAAATTCTGCGCTGAGGAGCATGCTAGATGAATTTCTCTCTGGAGCAGGGGAAAAAGCTATTGTGGTTGTTTCTACGTTTATGGTTTGATTTGGTTTGCCGTTCTTCTTCCTAATGATAAAAGTGTGCAAGTTGCTCTTTCTGATGGGTGACATCTGCTGGGTTTGTACCAAGAGAGTTTATGTAGCTCAGGTGAAGGAGGAAACTGCTGTGCATTTTGGTCCCTGTGCTACAAGTGGAGAATTCCAGGGCCGTCCAAACCTGGAGCAGAAGTCCCACAGAGAAATTCCCCGTGGAGAAGTTGAAATGTTGCTGTAGTTCCTCCCACGAATACCTAGTTGCTAATCCAAAGGGATGTTTCAATCCACAGGCAATTTACTCTCTGAAATTAATGTCCTAAAGAAGACAGAAGTTCAGCTGTCTCAACCGGTCACACAAGTTTTCAGTCTTTTTGTTTTGGTGTTACTGGTGTTGTAAGCGGGCGGGGGGGGGGGGGAGCCCCTAAGGGTGCCCCTTTTTTTTTTTTAAAATCCTAGGGTTTTAATGATGTCATGTAATGGTTTTGAAATTCAGTTATATTTATAAAGCATAATTATTTAATTGGATAAGTGGGGTTGGAATGCACCAGGACAGTTTTATTTGGATCGTGAAGCCTTTTTGTGTATGCTTTTTTGTATTTTTAGGAGCATGAAAGCCTTCAGTGTTTGTCCTGCAATTTTGATGGAACGTGTTGTAGTAAGCATTTTCTGCAGTGGTTTGCAGTCCTCACTGTAAGGCATGCAAAGCTGCTTTTCCAGCTCCCTCACTAAGAAGTAAAATCCCCCCCCCCGGTAAAGGAGACGGAGCAGAGCAAATACTTTCTGCGCTGTGAATTGCCCTTTACTAAAAGATGGGAGAACTGTCATTTTAGTTTTGTAGTTATTATCCTCTTAACACATGAGGAAAACTGATTTTTGTGCTGCTGTCATGCCTAAAAGCTGTGAGTACAAGTTGGAAAGAGGGAACTATTCGTAAAGAGGAAGACTCAAGAGTATGGGGGCGAAAGCATCCCATTCTTTGTAGCAGTAAGAAGAGGATGGAAGAGAAACCTTGATTGTTCTGGCATTGAGAGGCGCTTCAAAATGACTTTCTGGTCACAGCAAATGAAGTTTCTGAATGGGATCTGCAGTCTTCTAGGAAACCTTAGGTGGTAAATGGAGTCATTAGACCTGGGGCTTTGTCCCTAGCTGTAGTGGAAGCCGCCCTCTGCTTGATGACCTTAGTCCTGAGGATGAATAGAAAAGCTGGTGACTTTTTCAAGCTCTCCTTATCCAAACAAGCACAGGGAATGCCCCTCCTCCTCGTCACTGGCGAAGCATGGGAGGTTTGCTTATACCTTTCAAGAATGGCTCTTTTGCTGTGAAGTCTCGCAGGGACTGTATCTGTCCACTTGTGAAGGAAACTCAGAACTGACCTTGCCTTTCTTCCTTGTAGTTATCTTCGCTTTGGTGTTGATTTTATTGCTCTTCTTGTCCTGTGCAGCACGGATCTTCCCTTGCACCTCTCCTCTTGCCTCCCACATTTGCCACTTTATCTCTCTTGGAGGGAACAGGAACCTTAATAAATAACCTGAAAACTAATTAAAAGAGCTCATTCGTATGCCTTACTGTCACAGGACTACTATGATGCTTTTTTGTGATACATCTTGTAAATTATAAATGGAATTTTATTACATATGTATGTGTATGAATATGTATTGTATAATATGGAAGGAATTTATACAAGGGAAGCGTCTTTCTAATTATAGCTCAAAACTATGAGAGAGAGTTTGAGAGTTTTGGCTAATCACCGATTTTGTTCTTTATTAGCTGTTTGTTTTCTTACAGCATACTGTAAGTTAAAAGCTGTCTGCATCTGAGAGCTTGGCTTTGGTTAGAGGCACTGGGAGTGTAGTGCGCTGGGTCCCTTCACTGGGACTTCCCAGTGAAAAAGGAGGATGTGCTAAATCCTCTTCCTGTAGGTCCTGTTCACAAAAAGAAATTGCTGAGGCATGAATGCTGTGAGAATGGAATTGGAAATAGAAACTGCAGATGGGTAAAAATTGTTAACGGTTTTGTTTTGTGATGAATTATCAAGGATTATAGGCAGTCGTTCTTTGAAGTATTTTAACTTTGTGCTGAGCACATTCACTTGGTTATTTACAAATATTGCAGGAGCAAGAGAAAAGCTAACTTTTCGAGTGAGTGGTGACTCCCCTTCATCTTTGCAGGCTAAGGGAAGAGCCACATCACATATTCTGCAGCTGAAGAAATTCTGAAGCTGGGCTTTTTCCATCACCTTTAATACTGCCTTCTTACAGTAGTGGTGCATGGGGTTTGAAACTGTAAGCTCTGGATGAATTGAGCAAGCAGAGAGTAATTGCATCTTAGCAGGGCTTACCAACTGGGTATCTTCTGTGAAAATCCAGTTTCTGGATATTGCATCAGTGAAGAAAGATGTAAGTCTTGAACTGCTATTATGAGTACATGAGTTATTTTCATTCAGAGTCCTTGCTGGGTTTGGCAAAAGCCTTCTTTTCCTGCATTTCTAGCTGAGAATCTAAAAATGGTTCTGCCTGGACACTGAGCTGTTCTTGTGCCTGCCATCTGGTGGTGAGATACCACTGCTAACTGGACTGGTTGCAAGAACCCAGCGGAGGCTCTGTCTTAAGGATACTCTAGAGAAAAAGCAGATCCTTTGCTCACTGAGCCGTGTCTCGGAAGGAGGTCGGGTTTTGCATGGTTTCCCTGGAGGAGAATTAAATTTTTTAAGTTCTGTTACCATCTTTCTTCTCTTTCCTAGGATATGATGGAGCTCCTAGAGGAAGATCTCACCTGTCCCATTTGCTGTAGCCTCTTTGATGATCCTCGCGTCCTGCCATGTTCACACAATTTCTGCAGAAAGTGTCTGGAAGGAATTCTTGAGGGAAACGTGCGGAATGTGCTTTGGAGGCCGTCCCCTTTCAAATGCCCTACGTGCAGGAAGGAAACTCCCGTTACTGGAGTCAACAGCTTGCAAGTCAACTATTCCCTGAAAGGTATCGTGGAGAAGTATAACAAAATCAAAGTAACTCCGAAAATGCCCGTGTGCAAAGTGCACAGCGGGCAACCCCTTAACATTTTTTGCCGGACAGACATGCAGCTCATCTGTGGGGTTTGTGCCACCCGTGGTGACCATACGAAGCATGTGTTCTGTTCTATCGAAGAAGCTTATTCCCAGGAGAAGCGGGCGTTTGAAACCCTGTTTCAGGGCTTTGAAACTTGGCGTTGTGGAGATGCCCTCTCGCGGCTGGATACCTTAGAAACCAGTAAGAGGAAAGCTCTGCAGATGCTGACCAAAGATTCTGACAAGGTGAAGGAGTTCTTTGAGAAGCTGCAGCACACGCTGGAGCAGAAACGTAATGAGATTCTCTCTGACTTTGAGACCATGAAGCTTGCAGTGATGCAGGCCTATGATCCGGAGATCAATAAACTGAACACAATTCTGCAAGAGCAACGGATGGCTTTTAACATCGCAGAGGCCTTCAAAGATGTGTCTGAACCCATTATATTTCTGCAACAGATGCAGGAGTTCAGGGAAAAGATCAAGGTGCTCAAAGAAACCCCTTTACCTTGTTCCAGCGTGGACATCAGCCCTACAATGAAGAGCTTTGATACCAGCCAGTGGAATGGAATAAAACTAGTTGATGTGGACAAACTTTCCTTGCCTCAGGAAAACAACACTCTGAAATTCAAGATTCCCTCAGTCTTTTCACGCAGATTTATAGTGACCTCTCTTATTTGCTTGCTTATTCTTGCTGTCACCAGAACGTCCTTTGTGGAGTCAGTCGTTGACAATCTCCAGTGCTGGAAATCTCAATTCTTTACAATTAGCTTGTCCTATTTGGCAGATACAGTGGAGATAGCAGATCATGCAGTCTTTTACTGGGAACAGATGACAGATGGAGCTTCACTTCTGAGAGAAAAGTGTAAAAACTATACGTTGGTTGTACTGGATAATGTTGCACAGTTTGTGTGCAAATATAAACTGTTGTGAAGTCCCTGCTGAAATAATAAGAACTAAGAGAGATCTGGTGAGGAAAACATAGAAGTACTTAAAATTAATTGGTTTTTTTAAGATTTCCAGCAAAAAAATTCAAAGATTCAAAATGTTTCCAAAACATTCAGGCTGTTCACATCGTTTGAGCACTGATAAACTGGAAGATGAAATGGAGCTTTGAAAAACACATTGTTTCTGGATGCTTCTTTCAGTGGTGATTATGGGAATATTATTCACTGTAAATCATTTTTCTTACCAAAATGTAGGGCCAAACTGTGTGCTTAATTTAATGTTAATGTAATTGTGGAATAAGATAGGAAGTGTCACTTCCTAAAAGGTCGTAAAAGAAATTTTTTTCTAACTGGGAGGTGGTTTGGACAGAGGAAGAACAGTTGTGATTGAGAAGAGCGCTGTATCAAGAGGCTTGTTGAAGACTGCCCTTCCTCTGCGAAATACAGAGTGCATCATTCATGTTCTGGAACTGCTTTCTATCTGAGGATGTTACTTCTCACTGAAATAGATATTTTTTTCTATAACCAAATGTGGTAATTATCCTGTGCATTCAGATTACTGTAGATATTGGTTATTGTTTACATGTTCTATATGAAAATATATCTTCAGGGCAAGCATAGATTCTAGGGATAAAGAGAAATCAGTCGAGGTTGATCAGAGAAGAACAAGCTGCAAGACAGTACATACTTTGCAGATGGTACATACTTTGCAGTTTACCTTTCCAGCATCAATCCGGTGGGGTAGCTGAGCTGTCTGGTTGGATCCGTGTTTCTCTGAAGCCACACTTTCTTAAAAAGTGGCCTTAATGTAAACAGTTTAGTGCGGTGAAAGGCACGCACGGGTCAGCCACCGGAAGGCAGCCTGCACTCTAGCCCTGCGAGGGTGGCGGGCAGAGCAGTTTCTCTCCTGTCCCTCTCCTTCTCTCTCCAGATCATAATTCCAAAAGCCAGGAAAAACATTGGGATGATTCCTTGGAACAGAATGCGTAATGTGACAGGAGTATGGATGTTGTTGGTGTTTGAAAGTGCTTTAGCATTGGAACATATATAGGCTTTTCTACTGTTACTGTGTACTTTTGTGTACTTTGTTTCAGGAGTTAATTGAATTTTCGGAGTGTATCGACTTGGCCGTAGGATTAACAGTGATGTAAAGTGAACTGTAAGCTTGAGTTCTCTGAAGTGCCCTTCTTTAAGAGCGTACGATACTGAAATATATTGCTTGAAGCACATCTAGCCTCCGTTTGCAGTGGCCCTATGAACAGCAATATATAGAATGAAAACATTTTGTTGACGTTTCCGGGAAACAGACGTAATGCGTGCCATACTTTGGGGATATTTGCTGGCCTCTCTCAGTTTCGACGGTCAATTCACTGTCTTCCAGTAGCCCTTGCGAGCTGTTCATTTCAAAAATAAAACATTAAATTCCAAGAATCAAAGTTTCCAAGCAACCAGACCCCGCAAACAAAACTATTGTACAAGATATTTACATCTTTGTTGCCTGGGAGTCCTGTCGCTGCTCCACACCTCACTCCAAACACTTGTTAAAAGCAGTGAATGATTCTTGCAGCTGAAGATGCCGTGCAGTTTAGGAAAGATCCAGTCACAAACACATAGATCAGAGAGGTACAGTTCTTGAGCGGCTGAGATAGATAGCCAGCGATGAGTAGTCGAGAGGTGGTCGTTCTGAGCGTGGGAGGTGTGAGGTTTGTAACCCGGGCTTCTACCTTGCAGCAGTTCCCTGAGTCCAGGTTAGCACGGATGTTGAATGATGATGACCGGGAATTTAAACCGGTGAATGGAGAGTTTTTCCTGGACAGAGATGGAACTTTGTTCAGTTACATCATGGACTTCCTGAGGACTCTCCAGGTCTCCTTACCTGCTGATTTCTCAGACTATCAGAGGCTGCAGAGAGAAGCAGAATTCTATGGGCTCGACCCTCTGGCCGACCTCCTGAGCCAGGAACACTTGCTGAAGCCGAGGCCGGAGATCTTGGAAGTGCGTTTTTCTCTCCAAGAGATGCAGGCCTTTTTCCGGATCTTTGGGTCCTGCAGTACCACTGTTGAGACACTGGCTGGACTGATCACGGTGTTTACAGGGCAGCAGTCAGGACAGAGCTGGAACAGCCCTTTTCCTTCTCAGAAACCACTCGTTCCACTTCCTTTGGAAAGACCTTCTCATCATGACGTGGTTTTTCAGTGTGGTGCTGACTACTCTGCTGGTGACCAGTTTGTGGCCAGGTACTCTCCCTAGTGTGACTTCTCATTATGGAAGTGTCTTCGTGACTTCTCGTTCATGAAGTACACGCTATGTGCTAGCAAAGCTCGTTTTAAAGAAACTATTGGACAGCTGTCTGAGAGAAAAGAAACAAATTTCCTTCTTTCTGCTAGTTTAATGTTACCTTTTTCTAGTTCTGAAATACCCAGTTTGGTTTCTTTTACACTGATTAGCCTGGTCTTCAGCTTTCGAAAATACTGTTCTCAATGCTTGTTTTTGAGTTCTGTTGGGTCTTTCTCTCTCTCTCTGCCCTTTCCTCCTCACTCGCTCTCCCATGTTTTAGTATTTCATGGCATCAATGACCTTCTAGAAGACTTGAAAAAACACAGAGTAAAACGAAAAAAGGAAACAAAATAAATAAGGAATGAACTACTGGAGAAACCTAAAACCTCCACTAGCTCGTGGTCCAAAAGACTTTCATAGAGAAAAGAGGAAAAAAAGAATGCTTAAACAGGGTTGAAAACACCAGTAGAACGAAGACTGCAAATCGGGGACTGGAAGGCTTTTGTAGAGCCTTTTACTGGGAGGAGGGAGAAGGGGTAGGTTATTAACTGTATGCTACACAGTGGGTTTTCTTTCAGTTCGGAGCCAGGGTCTGTTTTTATTAAGATTACTGTATATCAGTGATTTTTGTGATAGCAGTATCATATTCTAACGACAACTTGCCGTTTTTAAAAAAGCTTTTGTCGGATGTCTCTTTTGTATGGAGATGCGTTCTTACTGTATAGGAAAATGTAACCGAATTTGTCCTCCGTGGCTGTTAGAACTTCTGGAATTTTATGGAAATTTAATTGAAATATTTCCAAAAGGGTTGTTCTCTCTGAATATATGAATTCACACAGCAGTCTTTTGATTATTTAAAAAAAAAAAAATAAATAAAGCTTATCTTTCTTCTAGTTTTCCTTAGGTAAGCGAGTAGAAGAAAAACTACTTTGCATTTGCAAAGCCACATATATTTATGTGCCAAACCTTAACTTTATAATGTGTTACTAATTCTAACAGACTAACGAGTGGTTGAGTAGGTTATGGCAACTTAAATAGTGGGGAAAATATTCTTGATTCTTTCCTTTGTTTCTTCAGACTTGGTAAAAATTTTCCTCTGCAGATCAACAGAAAAGCTTATCTCGAGTAATGAAACAGGTTGGGTTTGATTATGTTGCCTGCTGAATTTCTGTTGGCTTAGTCTTCGTGGTGACATGGACTCTTGCGCCTTTTTTGTGCTTTCCATGAATGTTTGGTGTACTTCCCTGTGAACTGTGGGACAGTTTCACCCCTGCCAGCTTATGTATTTTGTAATAGTATTTTTACCTGACTTCTGTTCCTCAAAATGCCTGGATGAGTTCTTAAACTGTTCTTTATACCAAGTAAAATCATTTGAGGCAATGTGAAAATGATTTTCATACTTGTTACCACAAGACCTGCTGTACAAGGTAACTTTGCAATAAATGTCACTGTTTGTAGAGAGAGAGATCCCGTGTGATGAGAAGTGATGTTATCAGGGGGAATGTGACTTCACTGTCCTTTACTCTTACCTGAAAAACTGTTGCAGCATTATATAGAGCATGCCATGCACCTCTCCTCCGTTAAATGAAATGAGGTAGAGGCTATCATCACAGCCATTTTTTAAGAAAGTTTTGGTGTAGGGGTGAAAGAGAAGTGCTTCTTCCCCGACACGTGACTGGATGAACTGAGAATTGCTGTTCTTACAGTGAGGGAAAGACTTAAATTGTCCTCAAAAAATATCTGAAACCTTGGTTGCTGTAAACCCGTGCAGCTGTGCTGACCCTGTGCACCGTCTGAGGACCTGGTTTGGTTTTAGAAAAAAATTGATTCCAGCCTTCAAGAAATAATTAGAGTGTGTCGTAACTGCTTTTTTCTTATTTTAGGTATGTTTCCATAAAGCCTGACCATAGAAAGCTGATTAATGGTACTAATGTGCTCGGCCTGCTGCTTGACACTTTGCTCAAGGATGGATTTCGCCTCATAAGCACCAGGACAGTCTCCAGTGAAGAAAAAGTCGAATGCTACAGTTTTGAAAGGATGAAGAGGCCAGCAGGCCTCCCCATCACAGTGAACCAAACCCCAGGGAGCTCCGGGGTAGCACAGGCAAAGAGAAGCCAAGTGCAGAAAGGGAAATAGAGGCTTCTCCTTTCATCTTTTGAAGGTGGGAGAGGGGCGGGTCAGCACTAGCGGCCTTTTTTTTGTTGGCTTGTTTGAAACTGCAACTATTGAGGGAAGTAACAAACAAACAATTTTTTTTTTCCAAGTATTCAGGAAAAAAAAAAAAAATTGCTTTCCTGCCTTTTACTGCTCCACCCTCTTCAACTCTAAATAAAAGAACCACAGATTCAATACTGGTCTTGTGGACCAGATTCCAGAGTTTTCAAGGTTTGTTTCTGTCTTTATCTGTGGCTAAAATTTTTATTAGGACTCAAAAAAAGCCAGCCATTCCTTCCAGAATATAATTTTTATGTTCTGTGCTGATCTGTACATAGATTTTAAATGCGTGACAATATTGAAAGAAATAACAGCTTGACACAACTGTCATCCCAACAGTTTGGAGAAGCGGCTGGAGGAGGAATGCAAATCTCGATGACTGAATATTGCTTCTACTTTCAAAAGACACACAAATGCTGCTTCTCTTGCAGTTAGCTGAAACACCCCCAGTTGTATTGCTGCGTGGCTCCAGACACGAGAAAGTGGCTTTCTGAAGCCACCACTAGTGTCCAGGAAATAATGTGTTGCTGCCACTTGCAGAATACTCCTCTTCCTCTCGCTCTGAAGGCATTAAGCTGCTATCCAGTGCTGAGAATTAAATGATAAAGGTCTTTGTGAACAAAGGGTCATTTAATTTTTAGAGCTTTAACTATGAAAGGAATGAAAATGTGATGAAAGGTCCTTCAGATGGAGGTGTTAGTACGACTTTAAACAAAATAGTACAAAGGATTTCTTAATGCTTGTTAAGTGCAAAACATATTTAGGAGGAAGGCTTGGCAGAAGTGGGTTTAAAAGCCTTGGGAATGTTAGCCCTGTACAACGCTTTGTAAAGATGCCAAAAGTAGCTCGGATAGCAGGAGAGGTAAGTTAATGAGGCCTTAAAAATTAAGAATTTTTTGTCCCTTCAAGACAGGGAAAGAAGACAGCAATAACTTCAAGGATTCATTATTTGAATTTGACTTCTGTTGATAAAACACCATCTTCCCAAAGTTATGAACAGCCAAGTAGAGCTCGTTTGGGCTTTCTTGGCTGACTAATTACATCTGGCTTTTCATTGGCTTTAAAATGTGAATTTATTACTTTATTTGCAGCACTTAAAAATGGGGGTGAGTGGTGGGAATCACCCGTCTGTTTCATGCCCTTAGGAGTTTCAATGAAATGAATCTTCCCAAGCCGGTGGTGCCCAGAGGGGACATCTCTTTTCTTTTGCTACCACTGTAGTGTGTTTCAGCTTGACCCAAGTTTGGAAGTTCATCAGCAGCAACGAGGTCCTTTTTGCTTGTTCTCAAGCTTTCTGAGTTGAGAATAACGTGATTACAGGACTACATCTCCTAAGCTGCTTGCAGGTTATGTAAAGTAATCAATGTTGAGGAATGTAGGAGCAGATGCTTTCAGTTCAGATGGGATTTTTTTTGTCAATATGTTCATATTCACCTTGATAAAAGACATTTTTTACAGTGAGAACCATCGTTCACTGGAACAACCTCCCCAGGGATGTGGTGGAGTCCCCGTCGCTAGAGGTTTTCAAGATGTGACTGGACAGGCTGCTGGATAATCTCAGCTGGACTCCCCTTCCCGTCAAAGGTTGGGCCAGAGGATCTTTCGAGGACCCTTCAAGCCCGGCCTGTTCTGTGATTCTGTGAAGACCTTCTGTGGAGGTCCGTTGTCAGAATGCCAGTCATGGTGGACTTTGAGGTCAGATGGCAGCATTTGGGTGACACAGCAGACAAGCTGTATAGGGTGACTGTCCCCACAGGTTGCTGTACTACAAAGACAACACTACTTGTTTTCCAAGTTCATTTTGAGGTCCGCGAACTGACTTCCCAGAAAAGTTCCCATTCCTCAAATTGGGATAAAACCGAAACCAGTAACAATGAGTATCGAGCGAGTCAGTGACCGTGAACATTGCTGGGGAAGAGACTTAGCAATAACAGCAAGAAACACAAGACAAAAGTGACAACTTTTTATAGGGAAAGGAAAAAAAATGGGCTTGAGGCTGTATTTAAACACGAGGCCTTAAACGATTGCTGACAGCAGCAGTGTAAAAACTGACACCAGTTTCAGAGCCCCTTGCTCTGAAACTGGTGTCTTTGTTACTTTGCAGTAACAAAATTAGGCTACTTCCCCTACCACAGAAGCAGTGAGTTTATTTTCCTTGCTGTAGCAGCCCCTTTGAAAATTGAAGTTTGGATTACTTTTTTTTTTAATAAAGTGAAAGAAGTATTTCCATTTTTAAAAAGCCGTGGAGTTTTAACCTCTGCCACCCCTCATGCTCCATGGCTTTGGCAAAATGAGTATTTCAGTAACAACTTGTGACGGACTAGCGCTGAACTCTTTCTGGTTCCCCTCGTGGGTTAATTTTTATTCAGCACAAACATCATTCTGTGAATGTAGTATTTCGGCTCTGGAAAAAGTTAATGGTGCAAGTTCCTGTTCTGTAAAGGACCATACGTCTTCTACCTTCGTCTTTTCGAAGCCAAGCACATGACTGTCGCTGAGATTGGATTCCCAAAGTTTTTCCAGCAGTTGTTCTTCCTTAGCGCTGAACTGAGAAGTGTCACCTTCTGTCACCTGCGCACCTGCAGGGAACATGACTACGCTCATATACAATGCTTTTGGTTTGTTTTATTTAACTGCTAGCGGCTTAAGTTAGTTTGAGAGCATGTGTGTCTGTCTGTGTACTGGGTTTGCATGACAAGGTTTTGGTAATAGGGGGGGCTACAGGGGTGGCTTCTGTGAGAAGCTGCCAGAAGCTTCCCCCATGTCCAACAGAGCCAATGCCAGGTGGGTCCAAGATGGCCCTGCTGCTGACCAAGGCTGAGCCCATCAGCAATGGTGGTAGCCTCTGGGATAATGTATTTAAGAACGAACGAAAAACCCCTGCAGTGGAACAGTAGCCGGAGAGAGAGAAGTGAGAGGATGTGAGAGGAGCAGCCCTGCAGACCCCCAGGCCAGTGCAGCAGGAGGGGCCCCAGGCGCCGGAGCAGAGATTCCCCTGCAGCCCCTGGTGCAGCCCATGGTGGGGCAGGCTGTGCCCCTGCAGCCCAGGGAGGCCAGTGAAGTTAGAATTTGGGATCATTGACGTGCTGCACTTCTTCCAGTCATTGCCAACATTCTCAAGAGAATTCCATTTTCCTGGGAAGGTGCAAAATTTGCTGATTTCAGTAAACTTACTGCTCTATTTGCCTTTTTATTCTTCCCTGGATTCAGCAAAAACATGCAGACTGTTCCACTGCCTGCGATGCTGGAAACTGACTGCCCTCGTGCTGCGGGGTGGCCCTCTCGCTCACTTGTGGCGAGCAGTGAGCTCTCTTCTGCTTTTTAACACACAAGTGGACCCCCAGAACAGTGAAATCACTAGAGGGAAGGGAAACTAAAAGCTGAGCGACCGCGGTCGTTCTGTCCTACATGGGCTGCGATTTGCGTGGCAGAAGTGGATCCTTTAAATAGCCCCATGTCCAATAGCTTGCTGCTACGTTTGCAAAAGGCAGATGACTTGGAAAGGCACCACCTTATTTGTCTTACATTTTTATTCTGATTTTAGTCACTTTTCCCTCCTTTAAGGTTGGGTTTCATCCTGTGTTTCTATATTCGAGGCTATTGAAGGCTTTATCCATGCAGTCTTGCGGTGCCTGTTGGAGATCCCAACAGGATAGAGGCACCACACTTTTGCCCTCCTCCCCCTGTTCTTGCCCCGTGTTGACCTCCTTTCATAGTAATTGATTAGATTTTTGTGCTTTTAAGTAACGTTTTGTCTGCTGCTTCACCTACTGGGAAGTTCTCTCATGTCCTTCTTATCTCTTTTGGGGACATGTCATTTATTTACCACCTGAGTTGTTCAGGAATCTGCTGATAACCAGGAAGGAGAGCCCGAGGTGAAACACTGTCCGGTTCTTCAGGTATTGATTTCAATATGGCCATTCATGAGGACTTTTGTTCTTTTAGGGAGTGCCCTCACTGTATTCTTACAGGTTCGACAGTCAGTCCTCATAAGATTGTATAATTGATTAAGAATAGAAGTTTAAATAAAGCTATTGCAGTTGATAGTATGCTTAGACTAAAAAAGACTCATGTCTCAGCGCTGGCCATAGTACTGCGAAGTTTTTCCCTTTATGAAATAATTCCAAACCATTTTTCATTTCCCTCCATAGCTGAATCTCATGAAAATAATAGAAGACTCTACCCAAGACGCAGTATATGAGGAATCAATAGCCTCAGGGCGAAAGAATGGTGCTGTAGTAATTGCATCCTGCCCTGCTTCTGCAGGCTTGCAAACAGGGGTAGTGGCTTCTGTTCTAACTTTGGAGAAACTTATTTCCACATTGGGCTGGTCCCGCTTTTTACCTGTTTTGGTCAGTTTCCAGTTTTCCAATGCTCAGAAATAACTCCTTTAATCTGAGCCGAGCAAGGCTGATGTGCTTCTCTCTGTCTCTGGAAGGGAAAACACTATGATACATCCATTGCACAATCCGGGCGATGCTCCGTTTTTGGCCACAGCTGAATTCAGTGCCAGAAAGCTGCCAAAGTGGATCAGAAGTTCTGTTTGAGGTCACAACAAAGTGTTCATAACTTTGGATTTTTTTTTATTTTTTTTATTTTTTATTTTTTTTTTTTCCCCAGATTGCTGGAAAATGTTATTGAATATTCATTGGGAAACAAGCTGGGAGCCATCCAGGAGGAGGAGGAGGGAGACTCATTGCCTCTCACTCCTTCCCTCTGATTCGCGTGGAACCATTGCCAGGCTTTAACTTTACAAGGTTTATTTTTATTGATTTTCAACAATAAACAGTGGGAGTATCTACAATAAAAGATTTACAGCGCATCACGAGGAAATACAACTCCCTACCAAATATTATATTGATCTATTCCCAGATGCTACTGAAACGGCGTATAAAAGCCCAGATCAAGTCCAGTGATGGAGAACTTCCTCTCTCCAGTGACAGATGCGTATGACTCTTATGTCTTCAGAAAACAATAAAAGGGAAGGGAGTGACTCTGCTTCTTTGACCGTATCTTCAACAGCCCAGTTAAATCTGTCAGCTCAATGTAATCCACATAAAAAAAGAATTTGGGATCCAAGGGAACTGCTAGTGTGTCTGAAGACTCCCATTCTTTGAAGCTGCCTCTCCTGCTGCAGTCGGGCCATAATTAGTCACAGAAGGCCTTGTTGTGACTAGTAAATGGATAGACCAACAATGATTTGAATAGTCTGGAACCGGCTGGAGATATGCCTGGAGCCCTGAATATTCTCAAATGGGTGGGTGGGATGTAAATCACTAGTCGTCGCATAAAATACAAATAAATCTGACTTCTATTAAAAAAAAAAAAACCAAGGGAATTTCGGTTTTCTAGACCATCGTGTAGTTTCTGCTGAAATAACCCCCTGAAGTGTGATCTGATGTGTAAATTTTTCCAAGAATCCTTCCTCCTTTTCTACTCTGTTTCCATTCTAACGCAATGGTTCAATAATTGGTGGCTTCTTTCTGCTCAGAAAGATGATGAATGTAGCCCTAAAGGTTGGAAAGAATAATGTGTACGAGCCTACTTTAGAGAATGAATTTAGGGCTTTGCTTTCTAAGCAAGTTTCTGCTACGCCACTCAGCTGAGTGCTTGCTGAAGCTGAAGAATTAAACGTTGCAACATTGTTCCATCCTGATACTCCATTGGAAAAAAAAGGCAATAGATTGGCAACACGAAGCGTGGTGTTTTACTAGTGCTTTGGAGTCAAGAACTCAATTTTCCTTGACTTTCAAAGGCAGTTTGTAGCTTTCATTGAGGCCCTTCTGAAAAGACTGGTCTATGGTTTTGGTTTTTGTTCCCCAGTGATAACTAAACTGAGTAATAAAATAATTGCTGACATACCGTTTTATTTACAGTGTTGTAGTCAACAATAAACAGAAGGCATGCTGATCCTCTTCCATCCTGTAATCTTTGTGTCATTTTGCTATGTCTTCAGCTGGCTCCTCGGCCTGGTCACTGGTGGTGTAGAGGAAAAGGCTATGTGATATGGGCAAGCAGAGGTCCACAGAAGAATGCAGACTCACTTCTTTCCCATTACAGAGAGGGAGTTAAGGAATAAAATTCAGCTGAAAAGAGTTGCTGCCTTTGTGGGACCAAAGAGACACAACTTATTGTACTGAAGGGAGGACAGTTAACGGAGCTGTCAGAAATTTCAGCGCCACTGGACAAGGAGAAGCAGAAGATCTTATAAGGGTGAACGAATGGGAGGGTGACAGCAGCCAAAGGAACATGGGAAAGGCATGGAGTGACTTAGATGGGTGACTTAAACATTCATGAGACTGCAGGGATGTTTTACTTTTTCCCAATGTGTTAGGTAAGTGGATCTGCAGAACATCTTCCATCAACAGTCTGCATACCTGAAGAGCAAAATTTCTCTCCCAGAGGTCAGTCCTGCGTCTGTGCTATGAAGTGAAACGTTGCAGGACACAGACATAGGGTGGGCTAATCGTGTTGATACCTCACATCTGGAGAGCGAAGCTATGCTTTTGGTGGCTGAACAGACAAGCTCCGAAGATCAGAATACCAGCACTGCTCTGGCAACACTGGGATTATAAAGCCTCCTGGAAAACTATGGATATGTCCTGTTGGTGGCCTTTGCTTCAGTTCCATTTGCAGTATGGTGAGCAGTAACCCTATTAGTAAGTTCCTAATTTTCCATAAACTGGAAAATGTGTCTTCTGGAACAGATGGGTTTATGTTGTTTTCCTGATTTGCAAATTGATCCTTGAGCCATATAATTTTCCTTTGCTACCTATCATTGATCAAAACACTATCTTCTGAAGATGGCTCAGTAAACTGTGGCTCCCTAGAACACGTTAATGGCTTAATGATTAACATGGCCGTGTCAAGCGTGTAAACAAAAAATTGTAACTGCGTGGCCCCTGATGTAACGGAAATCCTTCTCACATCTTCCCTTAGGCTAATGATATTTTCTGCTGTTGTTCAGTAAGAGTTTTTGTTGACAACTGAAGTGTGATAGTGCAATCCAGAGTCCACTGGTGTTCATACAGCAGTTATGAAATCTATAGGTATGGACGTGGAAAAGGATGGGCAAAAGATCCTCTTTTTCATAGAATCATAGAATCACTTTGGTTGGAAAAGACCTTTGAGATCATCGAGTCCAACCTTTAACCTAACCCTGCCATCCCACCACTAAACCATGTCCCTAAGCACCTCATCTATCCTGCTTTTAAATACCTCCAGGGATGGGGACTCTACCACCTCCCTGGGCAGCCCATTCCAGAGCCTGACAACCCTTTCGGTGAAGAAGTTTTTCCTAATGTCTAGCCTAAACCTGCCCTGGCGCAGCTTCAAACCATTCCCCCTCGTCCTATCATCTGTTACCAGGGAGAAGAGGCCGACCCCCACCTC